GATAGTTGGTGCATTTGTGAAAGTTATTGCATGGTGTGTGGCTTCCAACCTTCGGTGTCTGGTTATGAGAAGTGCCCCATCCAGTTCTGATACACACAGTCCCATTGCTGGGCCTGACTCACAGTATGCTTACTGTCTGTTTGTGCCTTCTTTGCAAATAGAAAGCTTTTTTTTTTTTCTTAGTATAGAAGAGGAATAGGAAGTAACTTAAAAACATAATGGATGGCAATGCTTCTGAAGTGAGGTCAGCATCTGTCACCTCTTCATTTCCCAGCAGCAGACCCAAACCAGGGTGTAAATGCAATACTCATTGCATTTACGTGGGAAAACAGACCAACTGAAACATCTCCCGCATAGGAAGAAGAACCGTACTCACCAAGTTCCTCAGCTTGTTTCTCTGCAAAACAGTGAACGAGCACAAATGGGTGTGGGCACCAGCTGTGGGCACCACCCCAGTGTGGCTGGGACATCACCACAGCCACCTGCACAGAATGAGCCTTACCAATTTTGGTGGCACGGTCCCCTAATCAGCAAAGAGAAAGACCACCCAGTTAGTGATGGATCACTGCACTGGGGGCAGCTGGAGGGCTGCATGGAGCAGTGCAGGGGGATTCTAGCAGGAAGGATGGGACTTACCCAGCTCTGCGGCTTGTGCTGCTGCAGAGAGAACCAGAGAACTCATTACTATCACAGCAACACAAAATCTGAGACCCCAACCTGCCGCCTCTTAATAGAAGCCTTTTAAAAGGGCCTTTTGCAGAGCAAAGCTCTGCCAATATACAGCACCCTTGCTCTCTCTTTGCTTGTGCCATGAGCTTACTTAAAATTGCAGCATCATTTCACAATTTCATCCTTTTGTCATTTCAGAAATCAGTTCCTTAATTTTCTGTGGCTGCTCTGTACCCCTTTGCCTCCACCAGCCCACCCTTAAGATAATGCCTTGTCTAATCAGTCAGTGGGAATTCTCCAGTTTTCCAATTCATGGCAAAGTGGAGCTTACCTATTTTTTTCTCATACTTTCCTGTGAATAAAAACAGAAGAAAGAAACATCAGTGGTTTAAAAAACCATGCTTGTAATCTACATCTGCAGCTCCAACCCCGCACAAGGCAGCGGCGTCCAAATGAGCCCAGAGGGGTCCCTGCCCCCCAGACCTCCCCAGAGCCCGAGCAGTGAGTCAGATAGGGGCCGCAGACCAGGACTGTACCTTTCATTTTCAGCAGATAAACAGCAACGATGGAGAGAGCAACTATTGCAACCAGTACCACGCTCAGGGCGATCTTCCATGGTCTGGCGTTTTGGAAAAAGGGATCTGAAAAATAAAAGATCCCCGCAGGGCTTCGGTTACCCTGCAAGCAGTAACAGAACACAGATTTATGTCTGTTCCAGGGAAAAGACAGCCTGTATCCACAGCATCGTGCTCGACTTACCTGCGATGGAGAACGCGGACTCCATCTCCTGGTTGTGCAGCGCAGCCCTCACCACGCAGGCCAGCTCCTGGCTCACACCACTGGCGAGGACGAGGACACTCTCTGCTGTGTAGAGGCCCCCCTCGTCCTGGGCGACGTTTTCAGATAGGGAGGGCAGCCACTGCCCCTGGGGGTCCCGCCACAGCAGCTGGGGCTGCGGGAACCAGCCTGCCGAGCGGCACACCACGAGGATGCCGCCGTCCTGGTAGCGCTGCAGTGCGATGAGCGGCGCTGAGCCACTGGCTGCAGGAAACGGTGGTTGTGGGTTATTATGGGGTGGGGGTGATGCTGGGTATGAGGTTGGGGGATAACCAGCCGTGGCAGGGGGTGGAACTGAATGGGCTTTAAGGGCCTCCCAGCACAAGCCATTCTGTGATGTTTCTGTGTTTCTGCGCACAGCGAGCCTTCCAAGTTCTTATCCAGTCCTCTCCATAAACATCTGCCCTGGAGGCTGCTATAAAGTAATCCCCAGGTCTGGATATTAAAATATAAAAGCATATTTTACTTTATTGCCCACTGCCTTTTTTTTTTCCTATATCCATTTTTATATTAAGAAAATAATTTCAACAGCATTTCTTGTAGGCAGCACATCTCATTGGCCACATGTGGCTGTGCAGTGGACGTTCCACCTCTCTGAGACAACTTGGTGAGCACAGTCTTAGCATCATAGAATCACAGAATGGTTTGTGTTGGAAGGGATCACCAGGATTTCCCCAAAAAAGCACCTGGAGTCACTGCTTGGATAAAAGGTGGGTGAGAAGAGCAGGATGAAAGGTGGGATGAAAGATGGGGAAGGAGGGTGGATGAAGGATGGGTGAGAAGATTAGGATGAAGGTTGGGAGAGAAGAATGGGATGAAGATGGGTGAGAAGAAGAAGAATGGAATGAAGAGTGGGATAAAGGATGGTGAGGAGAGTGGGGTGAAGGATGAGTAAGGCAGGTGGGATGAAGTGTGGGATAGAAGAATGGGATGACGAATGTACAAGGAGAGTAGGATGAAGGGTTGGAGAAAAGAGTGCTGGCTGTGAGCAAGCAAATCAGAGGTACTGGGAGGAGCCCCCCAGTGAAGACAGGGACAGAGATGATCATGAGAACAGCTTTTCCATGTTGTGAGAAGAGCCTTTTCACATAACTTGAGTGGATACAAGCTGAAGGACAAGATGCTTGCATACAAGTAAGCTCAAGAACAGGATGCAGAGTCTATGGAAACTCAGAACTCGCCAAACAACAATAAGAAAGAAGAATAGATATCCTGAAGATGTTATTGAAGACAGGAAAGTGAAACAGATGCCTCAGCTCAACACAACACCCCCCAACCCCTTTAAAGATTGAAAGTTCACATCAAGAAAGACTATTAGACTTTATCCGATGACCACCAGAGAGCCCCGCCACGTTTTAGGATGCATGCTTAAGAGGATGGAAAGGTATGTTTATAATTTCTCAGAATTCCGCTCCATTTTCTCAGAACCAAATGAATATCTAAATGTTATGTCTTTAAATATGCAACCGTTGCTTTTCTCAGTGTGTGTTCGGAGGAGATATCTGCCTCGCACCCAGCACCATAGTAAACATCTGCTTTATAACCTTTCGTGGGTTGTAGTTTGGTTTGGCACATCACAGACTACAGACCTGTCACCTTCAGCTCCACCACAGCCTCGTCATATCCCAAATCAGTACGAACAAAGCAGGTATAACACCCCTTGTCAGACAGCTGGACACGGAGAATTCTCAAGTTCACGCTGCCGTTGGTGAGGCGCATCTCCGTGCGCCCTTGGTATCGAAGCTCCTGGTCCCCGTACTGGTCCTGGCCATCCCTGTAGCGATGCACGAAGGGTGTGAATTGGTCCCTAAACCACGTCACCTCCATGTCCTGTGCGCTCTGCTCCGGGGACAGGTGGCATGGCAGCACCACGTCCTGCCCCACAGCCACGGCCACAGGGTCAGGGGGGCCCTGCACGCTGAATGGGGCTGGAAGGAAAGCAAGAAATCGCTGTGAGATGGCTGAAAGCCTGTGCTGTGCCATCACATGGGCAGAGCAAACACAGCCACGGGGGCTCATACCTGACTGCAGCTCACAAACGTGGAAAACGGAACTGTAAATGACAGCAGCCAGTATAGGGCAGTGGAGGCAGCAGCCAAAAAACATCGTCTTCATGAAACCCACCCTGAGAATGGAAAAGGGGAAGTGAAGGGAGAGCAGAGAGGTGAGAAGAAAAGCAGGATGGCAGAACATTATGGGGAGTGATGTACTTTTAAAGGGATTCTTTTGCTGATTTCAGCACAGTTTTTATAATAACCAGTCTAAGGTTGAAATCCCCAGGGTTGAACTCGATTTTACATCAGCAGCCCAACTTTGCCATTTTCCCATTGCCTTAAAGGAAATGCTATAACTTGTCCTTTACTGAGAACAAATCTAAAACCTTTTATAGCAGATGGGTGCTTTGTGCCCAAAGCAGCACACACCAAGCAGTTGTTTGAATCTGGAATTCTTGCTTCTCTGATCCAGCCCTGAATTAGGAGTTGGAAACATTAGGATGGCAATGAGAAACCTGACTGAGTGCCCACAGCAGTGAATCCAATCTCCTAGCCCAGTCCCAATGGGGATGCTCACAGGAATGATCCCCACGTTGGCATGGGGATGGAAGGAGCACAACAACCGCAGCCAAAACCGCCCCCCAGCCCCAAGCTTACCAACTGTGCAGTCCTGGCTCTGCCAGCAACGGGTGGAGGGCAGGGAGCAGGAAATGCAACCACTGAATGCAATGTTACAGCCCATTTCCTTGTGCACCTCCTCCACTCAAAAATGAAAGTAAGAGAGAGATTTGAGCATTGCTGATTGGAGGTTTTGCTCTGGAAATGCTGTTGTGCTGCTTGGGGGCTGCTGGGGGCTCACACAGGGCACGGAGCACATAAAGGCACAGACCTGGCCCACACTGGGGAATGGAGCTGACAGCTCAAAATAAAAGTGTTTGTGCTGGTAGGGTGTGCATCACTTTGAGGAGCGTGGCTTCTGCAGCTCATAGGGATGCTGATGATGTGAAGCATGTGGGCAGGGAGGAACATGCAGGGGAAGAGAGTGGGAAGGACAAACCCTGGGGGGAGAAATTCCGTGGGATGGGCTGAGTTGGGGTGAAGCCATCACTCCTGGGCACATGAAAAGGTGTCTGTAGAGGGGGGAGGAAAAGAGGGAGGGCACAAAGACCAGTGTGCACCATCCCCTATTACCAGATGAGCAACTGAAGCAACACATGCCCTGCCAACATCTCCCCCTGCAACCCATTGGCAGCACAACACAGCTGGGCAAGCCTGTAAGGAGCCAGAGCTCCTCCATCATGACACTGCACAACCTGGGCACCTGATAAGGCTGGTGTCCCCAGCTGGCATCCCACCCGAGCACAGGGAGGGGACCCAGCAGGGCTCAGAGCTCTGTAAGGCTCAGAGGGCTCTTATCACCAACCTGCAGCTGGCCAAGGGGAGGGGAGATGCAGGGATTCCCACGATGCATCTCTGCAAACAGCATGGGGACACTGTGGGAACAGTCCTTTCTAGCCACGATCTGATGTGGTCCGGTGAGCGGAGAGCAAACTGAAGGTGTCTGGACCCATCTGAACCCTTCTTTCCCACTGTCAGCCTGCAGCGAGTGCTGACTGTGCTGGGATGTTGTGACTTCTCCAGCATTCCCCAAGCTTCTGGAAAGCAGGGTGCCCTTTATCATCTTCACATGGTCTCTGTGTCCCACAGTTTCCACTTTCTGCAGGGAACATGCCTCTGCTCCTCCTGATGTTCTGCAGAAATGCTCATTTCCAAGATGGAGGGAGAAGAGATGGAGACTCTGGCCAATGAAGAGGAGGAGAGGAGCAAAAGAGGTGAGTTTTTCAAGGTGATTGTGCTGTCTGGGAGAAAAGTGCGTCCTGCTTCTGCTGTGGAAGAGATAGAAAGGGGCAAAGCTCCTGGGGATTGTCATAGGGTTGAGACTTGGTGACCCCCCACCCCCAGCTGGATTCCTCTGGCTTATTTGTAGACCCACCAGCAGCACCAGGCACCCGAGCTGCCATCCTGGCTCCCACCATTGCACACAGAGAGAAAGAAGAATGTGAGGTCATGGGTGATCAGTCCTGGGCTCAGAGTCACGGTCTGTGCCCAGCTGTGCCTGCTTCTCTCTCGCAGCACGAGGAAAACCCACACTCAGGTCCAGGTGTCTGCACAGCAGGTGCAGCTGCATCCTCCAGGAAAGGGGGATCCCCTTGGCCAGGCACTGCATGGGAAGCCCCAGAGAGGGCAGGACTAGGGCAGCACGAGCCTGGGGCAGCCCGGCGCAGAGAGGTCCTCACCCCATGATGGAGATGTCTGGACAGGAGGAAGGAATTCACCCCATCCCTTCCCTTGCTGGGTGGGTTCAGCCCTGACATAACATGTGGTTGCCTGTCCTGAGCGGCTTCTCCTCTGTCCCCAGCTGATTTCGCTCTGGACCCGAACACCGCCAACCCCTTCCTCCTCCTGGCTGACGATGGGGGAGATGTGAGACGTGGGGATGTGTGGGCATCGCTGCCCGATGGCCCCGAGCGCTTCGGCACGGAGCCGTGCGTGCTGGGTGACCGCGGCTTCTCCTCGGGGCAGCACTGCTGGGAGGTGGAGGTGGCCGATGGTGGAGACTGGTGGGCGGTGGGGGTGGCCCAGCACTCTGTCAGGAGGAAGGGGGTCCTCAGTTTTACCCCCCAGGAGGGGATCTGGGCCGTGGGGCAGTGGTTCGGGCAGTACTACGCTTTCACCTGCCCTGACTGGACAGCCCTGCGCCTTGCCCAGCTGCCCAGGGCCATCCGGGTCTCCTTGGACTTTGGGGGTGGGCGGGTGGTATTTGCTGATGCTGAAAGCAAAGACCAGATCTTTGCCTTCTGCCTGGCTTCACGTCCCGAGGAGATGCTATACCCGTGGCTTTGGGTGGGAAAGGACTCGTGGCTGAAGCTGTGCCTCTGATGTGAAGGGAGCACAGAGGGCAGGGGCAAAACTGGAAAGAAGGAAACCATCAGCCTGGCTCTCAGCGCGGAGCACTGGGAGAGCTGCACATCCTTGCTGGTTGGTCATTCCTCACGTGGTCCCTCTGGCCACCAAGCAGAAGGTTGGTGATGGATGGGGAACTGGAAGGTCTTGGGGATGGATGCAACACAGGAGCTTCTCCATCCCCCTCTGCCCCACAGCAGGGGGGCACCGAGGAGATCATTGCAAGGAGACCCCGGGACTGAGAGGTGGGACTGCGCATTGGCTCTGTGCGTGGCCATGAGAAATACAGCAGATCCAAAGGCCTTGAAAGCTGCTGAGCGCCATGTCTGGCTTTTTCCAGAAAAGCTCAATGATGAAATAAAAAATATAAAAACAAAGCTGGGTGCTGGAGCTCATGATAACACTTATCTTCTCCATACATCTGAACTCTCTCTGCCTTATTTCCAGCTCTCACTGACATGTGCATTGGGTGTGTGTGTCTTCCTCCACACTTCTTGCAGCACAGCACTGGGAAAAGCTATAGGGATGGGCAGGGAAGGTGAGGCAGAAACTGAGGTGTCCAAAGTCCATAGGTCAGATCACTCCCGTGGACTTAGATCTCCATCCTCCCTCCGTCTTGGTTTCCTTTTCCTCCTTCAGCACAGTCTTTTAGCTGTTCAAAAACACACTGAAACAACCCAATTCAGCCTCTCCCAGGAATACACCTGGAGCAATTTGCTCAGGGAAATTCTACCACTAGAAGCTGGTCTGTTATAGTTCCTTTACCAGAAGCAGTCAAGGCAGAGATGCATCAGGAAGTTGAACTTTCTTCATGGTTTGCCAGGAATTTGCTGTTGGGATCCAAGAAAACCAGTTAATATCAGGAGAGGATTGCTGAAGATGCACGCACACCCTGCCCCGCTGCAGCAGCTGGTTTGTTTCTCTCCCTTCTTTGCTGTCAGGAAATAAAGGGCGTGAGCAGTGCATCCCTGATATGTGAGCATCCCTGATATGTGAGCATCCCTGATATGTGAGCAGTCTGCCTTTTTTGCTGGGCAGAGATCTTTGCAATCCCAAATCAACATCACGATAAAAGGGAGAAAGAAGCACATCACCACGTCACCAGCATCCCAGAGCGGAGATAAACAGAAGTCTGTTTTTGTGAGATCCTAGGCAACAAAGCTCTCACGCACACCAGCAATTTTGGCACTGTAAAACGAGGGGGGAAGTTTCTCGTTTATGTCTGTTGTTTAGAATAATACAGAATAATAAACCGAGTGTTTGAAAGAGGCCTTCCCCCAATTCTCGACATGTTTCTTGATTGAACTCATGGCTGTGGGGCCTGGAGGGGTGGGGGCTGCACATCTGGGGCCTTTTGTTTTCAGTACTGCAGTGACTGTGGGGGCTGGGAGGGAATCGGGGTGGTGGGGACACCGCAACAGCTCCTGGACCCCAACAGCTCTGGGACCCCCTGACAGCTTCTGGATCCCAACAGCTCTGAAACCCCGACAGCTTCTGGACCTTCCCAATGTATCCAAGACCCACAACAGCTTCTGGCCCCTGACAGAACCCCAAATGCTTCCGGCCCCACCTACAGCTCTGAGACCCCAACAGTTCTGAAACCCTCCATCAGCTTCTGGATGCCCCCCACCAAGACCCCCTGACAGCTTCTGGACTCCACTCTGACAGCTTTTGGACTCCAACAGCTCTGAAACCCTGACAGCTTTTGGAGTCTGCCAACAGCTTTGAGAACCCCAACAGCTTCTGGACCACATCCCCACCATACAACGGCTTCTGGACCCCTCTGACATAGCCAAGGCTCCAACATCTCTGAAACCCTGACAGTATCTGGATGCCCCCCATGATATCTCTGAGACCCTCTGACAGTTTCTGGACCCTGACAGCTTTGAAACCCTGACAGCTTCTGAACTTCCCCACCCCCACAACAGCCCCAGACCCCCTGACAGCTTCTGGACCTCCCAACAGCTTTGGGATCCTGACAAATGAAGTAGCCAACACATGAGAACCATGAGCGACCCTGTGAAAAAGCACATTTTCATTCCAGCCGTAACTATTTACATCTTTCTACAGTAAGAATTTTCTTCTTGCTTCAGTAAGTCAGTATTTCTTTCCAAGATCACAGAATCACATGACTACAGGGTACAGAAGCAACAACTGGAGACCACCTCATCCAAACCCCTGCTAAAGAAGGGTTGCACAGGAAAACATCCAGATGGGTTCTGAATATCTCCAGAGGAGACTCCACCACCTCTCTGGGCAGCCCGTGCCAATGTCTGTCAGCTTCAAAGTAAAATAATTCCTTCTAACGCTCAGATGGAACTTCCTATGTTCCAGTCTGTGCCCACTGCCCCTCGTCCTGTCACGGGGCACCACCAAAAAGAGCCATCCACTCGGCCCCAATCCTTTAGATATCTGTAAGAATGGACAAGATCTGCCTTCCTCCACTCTTCTCTTTGCTCTTCAATCTCAGCCAGAGAAGCAGAAGCTTGACTACAGAACCTCAACCCTCTCCCAAATGGACGTCATCTCCCGCCCTCCCCAGCTTTAACTGCATTCCTTCTTTCCACTTTTCCCCATCCACCCTCTTTCTTCCTGCACCCGCTGTGCCAACCACAACCACAGCCTGCTGTGAGCCACTCTGCTTTGCTTTTCCTGGGGGAGCAGTGATGGAAGCTCCAGCCGTGCCTCCCCATCCCCACCAGTAACAACACAACAGCCCCAAGTTTGTCTCACTTTTATTTACAGAATTGCACAGCCCGTTTCCCCCACGACACCAGGTCAGACACTGCTTTCCCACATCCATGAGCTGAGCATCTCCTCTGGGAAGGAGAAGAACTCAGAGTCACCGTTGGGTTTCGCAGGGGCACATGCAACAGCTCCAATGATTGGCAACCACGATAAAGACAATATAGAAGAGGTGGGGCCGTGGCTGTGCAGCAGCACAGGGCCCCATCCGCCCCAACTGAGGACTTCTGGCTTTCCCAGCTGAGTATTTGGACCATCAGTGGGTTTCCTCCCTCGAGTCCTTACACAGTGCTCATCCCTATGCACTGCCAGAACAGGACGCATTGGAAGCTCCTGGGAAGCAGCCAGGCTGCACCAAGTGCCCAGGCTGTGGTTTGTCAGGAGGGGCTGAATGGAGGTACCCAGGACAAGGCACAGCGTGGTGGTGCAGCACCCACAGCCGAGGGAAGGGGCTGGGAGGGAGGCAACACCTGGGGGAGGGGGGATCTGTGGCACCCAGGGGTGGGCTGAGCCTTTCTGAGGGAGCACAACCACTGCTGTATGGCCCCACTGCAAACCTGCATGGAAGGGGAGGCAGCAGGAAGGAATGGGGAGAGCAGGAATGAGAGCCTCATGCTGCCAGCAAACTGCCAGGACCTGAACACTGCGGGCAGGGGGTGCTGCAAGGTGCTGCATGGATCATCCTGGGATGGGAGAGAAATGAAGCAGACACAGCCCAGAGCTGGGAGAGGCAGGGTGCTGCCTTGTATCCACCAGGGACTTTAAACCTAGGTCAAGCAGAGGGAAAGAACCAAAGGGCAGGGAACATGAAAGGAAAAACAGCAGGAATGGCACAGGGAGCTTTGTGTCCAAGAAACAACAGGGCTCCATCTCGGAGGGCACTGTCTGACCCACATGGGCTCAGCAAAGGAGGGACACAGTCTGTGAGCACAGCACTGCCCACACGCATTGATGGCACAGCGGTGCGGAGCTGCAGGAGCAGGGAATGCCATAGTGACACGGCCACTGAGACAGAGGATCTGGTAGCCAGATGTGCTGGAAACACAGGTAAATGGGGTGGAGGGGGGATGCCAGCCCTGGAGATGGGACATGGGGATCATTTTGCTGGAGGACACACAGCAGGCTGGCAGCAATTTCAGGGCTGAACCAAACAGCAGCAGCTCCTCTGGCTGCTGATATGGAATGTGCTGAGATGTCCCACTGAGGGACTGCCAGCGAGAGGCCCGGCCTCAAGGCTGAGTGGGGACACCAGCAAAAAGACTCCAGCTCTCCCCTTTTTGGGGTGGAAAAACTCCATTATGAGCTTTTGATAGAGAAAGGTGGGGGGGGGGGTTCAGTCATTGCTACCCACCCTCGGCCCCTCCATCGACCTTTGTGGGATGTGCCAAGAGCTGAGAGCATCCGAGTCCTGGGGATGAGCCAGGACTTGTAAGGAAAGCATCCTGTGAGGCCATGTCTGCACAGGAAAAGGTTTGCTCGTTTTGAAACTCATTTTGAAATTCTCAAAATTACAGTACTTTACAATACAAAACGTCTCCATTCAGCATTTACGTCATTTTAACTCCTTCTGGGGTTATAATAATTATTAAAAACACACAACTTTCTCTAGAAAGGACAGAAACTTCACAAAAAAAGACCAGAGAGTAACGGGAAAGGTGGCTGCAATATTATCAAAACCAATTTAGTGCAAAGGAGAAGGGGCTCCCAAGGATGGCCGACGAGAAGTGCTCCGTACTCGTTTGGAGAAAAGGCATAGATTTAACCTCTGAATGAGATCAGGCTGCCAGCTTCTATACTGAAGCTTAGAACATCGACACATAAAGGACTGAAACACAATATGCATGGCCATTAAAAAATAATATTATATATAGATATATATATATATATATATGAGATTTTCCACGTATGGTGCTATAGGTAAGTGTCCCCTGCTCTGCCAGCCGGCTCCTTCGGGCCGCTCCATGTCGCAGAGGCTCCTAATCTGTGTTGGCCACAGGATGGAGTCCCTCCAGGTGGGCTGAGCGCTCCCACAGCCCCGCGGGCTCAGATCCAGCCCCGTTTGCTCACCCTGAAGGAGGGGCTGCTCAGACACTGGTCTCATCCGCCGCCTTTTTCATCAGCTTGGCAGACAGCAGGGAGTGGGGTGCAGGATGGGGGCTGCGGGAGGCCGGCAGCATCAGGCGCACCTTCTGGTTGGTCCTGCGCCACTCCGAGTACAGCTGGCAATGGTAGCGGAACGAGACCTGCGGGCAACAGCACAGCCATGGGTCACACCTGCAGGGATGCAGACAACCTGCTCTGCTCATCCCATCGTCCCTCAGCCTAGGGACGCGGCACTGGGCTCAATGGGGATGGGGCATTGCAGCTCTCCAACCTTTGAGGAGGGTGGGTGCCCCGTCCCCGCGGGTGCCGCAGCCCACGGATGGGTTCCTGGGCAGCCTGAGTTTGGGGGGCACCCAGTCCATGGTGGGGTGGGGTGAGAGAGCTTTGGGGCCTCTTCCGACCCATGCAAAGGGAGGAATTCCCACCAGGGCCAGGTAAGAGGAGGCTGAATCCAGCCAGCCCCATCTCGTAGATCCCCTCTGCCCTTTGTGAACTCCCCCCTTGCTCTGCACCCTGCCATCACTCAGGCTTCCTGCCTCCCTTCAGCTGCCTGCGCTGTGGCTCTGACACAGAAAGTCAGTTCTCTAGTTTGTGTAGGGTTGAGCCATCTGCTGTGAGAGACTCTGCAGTGCTGAGGTGATGGGCTGCATCACCTCCTGCTGCAAGGCCAACTGGGAATAAGGCTGTTTGCTTACAGACAAGAAGCAAACACGATTTGCAGACTCTCACAATAAACTGAGCAAAGGGCTCCACCTCGTGTCCCTCTCTGCAAGGAAGCACAGCAGAACCACAGCAGCTGGAGCCACAGCTCACTGCATCACAACACACACTTCTCTTCTTCCTCTGGACCTCCCAGACCCCCCAGAAGAGAGAAGCTGTTCTTTTTCAGCTTCCCGAGGTTAGTTTGGCTTTCTATATAAGTGAAGCTGCAGCCACACTCGCAGCTCACATGCAGCCCCCAGCAGCAGTTCCCTGCACCTTTAACATCCCCCCAGCACTGGGATCTGCACAGGGACTTCCAAGGAATGCCCAAACTCCAGGGGAAGCTCCATTCTGTGAGATGGGAGCAATGGGTGATGGGGAAGTGCCCACAGAACTGACAGCTTGGAGGGTCCCTCCTAGCAAGTGGCTGGAGGAGGGTGCCAAGGGCAGGAGCACTTCAGGGGGAAAGGTGAAATGAAGATCCAAACCCAGAGACAGACAGAACGTGAAAGAACAGAATGGGAAATGTGGAGCCCTCTGTTCCCCAGCCAGCTGCAGCCCGGGGCTCTCAGCCAGACTTGCTGCACGCTGAACTGCTGCCTGCTCTCCTGCCCAGCTTTGGCAGCTCCCGTTTAAAGATAATTAAACGGACGTTCAGGAGGTTTTGTCCCGAGGGGCACAACGCAGCACCCCTTCTGAACACCACCGAGCGCAGGAGTGGCGAGCAGAGCCCTGCTGTGCACTTACCAGCGTCCAAAGGACGTAGATTGTAAAAAGTGCTATAGTCAGTGCTATGAGTCCGATGGCCTCCAGGCGGCTGTTGAACTGCAAATGGTCCTGAGCTCCGCGGAGACACAGCCAGCCCGAGATCGCCGCCAGGGGAGTGATGAACAGGAAACACACCATGTCGCAGAACAGCGTCCTCTTCTCATTGCGGGGACCGGGATCCTTCAGCCACTGCGGGATGGAGAGGAAGGGTTGGCAGCGCGCAGTGTGCCAGCAAAGCGGGGCTGCTGCAGCAGGGAGCTGCCACGCATCTCCTGCACCCTGTGTGTATCCGCTGCCAGCACCCAGCTCGCATCAACCGGCACAGAAAGCGGGCTGAGCACGTCAAGGCTGCTTTTAGCAACTGCTGAGGGAAAGGGGAGAGGCAACTGAGGAATAACTGGGGGGAAGATGGAAGTAAACCCAGGCTGAGCTCCAGGGGCGGCACAGCCAGCGCCCTACGGCTGGTGCAGGGCTCTGGGAAACGTTCCTGGACAGCAGTGGCACCTCAGAGCCGCACTCCTGGCTTCAGGCAAAGCTGCAGCCTCACGTCCAGCTGAGCCCGGCTGTTCCGCGGGCTCTCGGGGCACGGTGCCGTTCCTGGGGCTCCGCAAGCAGCAGGAGCCCAGCGGCCGCCCAGTGCCATCGGCAGGGAGCGCAGACACCGTGCACCCGGGACAGAGACCCGAGTGCTGCCCATCTCAGCTCGCCCAGCTGCTCCCCATGCATCCAGTGATCCAGAACCACCCCCCGGGGGGGTGACTGCACTGCTCTGTGTGAGCGAGAGGCTCTGCAAGCACTTCCCTCTGGCAGTGCCCAAAAATCAGCAGGCAGCAGAAAGAACAGCTCTGATTCAGGCAGGTTTCCCCCAGCAGACCTTTCAAGAGGCACTACTTCCCAGAGCCTTGACCTGCTTCCAAATTTGGGTTCATTTGAGACACTAGACCTCGACAACAGCAATTGTTCCCGTTTTCCTGGGATGATGCTATTTTCAGCCTTTCCTTTCCTTTTTTAGAACAGCAAGCCATTGTGGTTCCTACCAACACCCAGCAGTGCTACAGTGCATTGTACCACGAGCTTTGTACAGCTGCTGGATCCTTCTCCATTTCCTGCACCACTGCCCTTATTTAGGGTTTGGGGGTTTTTCTGCTTAAAAACCAAAACTGGTGTCACCTGTGGGGTGCAGCTCTGATTTCAGCCCAAGTATTTGCTGCATGGAGTTCCTGCTCCCAAGTTACCTCCACACCCAGCAGTGAAGTCCCCCCCACCTGACTGCCCTGCTCCAGGTCTGACAGGTAATTTTGGGGCACTCATTTTCAGAAAGGGAGGATTTAAAGGGACAATGCACACGAAGCCCCTTCCCCTGACACAGATGGGGTGTAGAAGGTATGCAAGGAGTTAATAGAACAGCACTGGTCAAAATTGGCCAGCTATGCAGGCTGCAAGCTGAGGAGCACAGCTGGGGACCAAGCAACGCTGCAATGTAAAGAGTAAGTTAAAGGCATTCTTAAAGCCCTTCTGAGCACGGTTGGATGGCCTGACAACCAGCAGGAAGTTTGAGTGGCCACAATTGTGGCTTGGCCAGGAGAAGGCAGGGAGCTGCATGTCACCCCGCAGAGATGAGTGGTGATGAGCTGCGTGGGGAAGATAAGGACCACACACAGCCCTGAGCAGCCCTAAGAGGAAGCGAGGGCAGGCAGCAGCCCAGCTGCACAGCAAAGCTGCTCCTACATCACTGTGCTGGCAGTCCTGCTGTCTGAATGCCAAGTAACTCAACTCCACAGCCATCCCAACCCCAGCCATCCCAATCTTAACCATTCCAACCCCAGCCCTCATGAAACCCAACCTCAGCCATCCAAGCCCCCAGATCCAGCCATCTCAACTCCAAGCCCCAGCCATCCCCACCCTAAACCTTCGCCATCCTAAACTCTGCCATCTGAACTCCAAACCCCAGCCACCCCAACTCTAGCCATCTCAATCCCAAACCTTAGCCACTCCAATCCCCAGCTATCCCAACCCCAAATCATAGCCATCCCAACCCCAAACCCTAGCCATCCCAAACCCCAGCTATCCTAGCCCCAAACCCTAGCCATCCCAAACCCCGACATCTGAACCCCAAATCCCAGCCATCTCAACCCCAAACCACAGCCATCCTGAACTATAACTACCCCAACCTCAAATCCTAGCTGTCTCAACCCCAAACCAAGGCTGTCCCAACCCTAAACCCCAGCCATCCCAAATCCCAGTCATCTCAACCCCAAATCCCAGCTATCCTAACCCCAAACTCTAGCCATCCCAAATCACAGCCATCCCAATCCCAAAGCAAAGCTGCCCTAATCCCAAACCCCAGCCATCCCAAACCTCAGCCACCTACTTGGCACTCCCAGCTTCAGCCCTGCACAGCCTGGGGCACGCAGCATTCAGGTGAACTATCTGACCTGGCCCAGCAGCAATCCTACAGCATCCTGTCTTTGGATATGAGGACATCATGGGTCACTTTTGACCCCAGTACAATAAGAACCTGAAGGCAAACTGGTTTTCTGTTGCATTTTGTTCTATTTATACTCCTTGTAACCTTTGAAAGTCCCCCATCCTCCTCAAGATGGGAGCCAAACATGTAAAGGCAGGAAGCAAATTAATTTCCTTTTGAAGTAGTTGATTTACATTGCCAAAATGTAAATCAACACAGTAAAAAGGGAATACAATGAGCCACCCCGAGGGCGAGGGGTTTCTGGCACCAGCAGCAGACTAATGCACATGGGACTTAAAACAAACCCTGTAAACTATCCAAAAAGTGGTCAGATTAAACAATTTTTGTAGGGAAAACCATCAAGTAAACATGGGAAAGCAACAAAAGGGCAACGTGATCTTCTTCCAGGCTGAGTCCAAAAACAATTGCTTCCATGCTGCAAATAAGAGCGCCTAAAAGGAGAGGAGAAGCTGCAACCCAGCTCCCAGACTGGGGACGACCTCTCTGCAGGAGACAAGATGTATTTTTGTCTTCCATCACAACTCTGGGGCCTTCCAGATGTTCCTCCCACCAGGACCAGCAGGGCTGCGGGATGAGAGGGCTGACTGTGGGGTGCTTTTCAGCCTCAGGGGATGGAAGCAACAGGAGCAGCGAGCAGAGGGAGGCTCTGGGATACCAGTAGCTGCTCTGGGAGCAGTGAGCAGAGCTCAGTGCCATGGAGAGGTGTCCCAGACAGCCCAGCCCTGCACGGGGAGCAGCACATTGCACCCCAGCACTGCCCCGTGAGCAGCTGTCCCAGCAGCGCCCAGCACTGTGAGTTCTGAACACGCTGAGCTTTGTCCCCAGACAGAGCTAAAGGGAAACACAAGAGCAGAACTGAGCTCAGTGGGAGCCAGGAGGGATTTGGTTTTGCTGGGTGCAGGGCTCGGATAGGAGCTCCCACTGAGAAAGGAGAGATCAGAGTGAGGAGCCGGGGCAAGGCTGAGAGGAGCACACAGGGGGATGGAGAATGGTGCAGGGAGAAGAGTTCGAGGAAAGCAAAGCAAACAGCCCATCTGCCAGGGAGATAAGACCCGAGGAAGGGTGGGGTGAGCAAACAGCACAGCCCACTTCTCCGAACTGGATGGGGTGCAGCCACAGCTGCCCCAAAGCAGAAGTTCTTTTCCATAGGCAAAACAATTACTGGATAACAGAACACACAGAAAGCAGCAGGTGCAAAATCACAGCTCCTGGGCTGCATCACACACTCAGCAGGAAGCATTCTGCAGAAGCACAGGGACACGAGGACTCCAACCAACAAGATGTGGGTGAGGCAGATTTAAGGAGGACAAAGCAAACCCAGCCAGCCCTGCCCAAGAGCCCCATGGGCAGCCCCAGCCTGGGGAAAACTGCGAGGCTGCACTCCTGCTGCACTGCTCAGGACAGCAGAGATGCAGACATCTGGAGATGATTCCTGAACAATAACGACATGTTTTCTGTGTCTGACATTGTTTGAAATAAGCAAGACCCCTCCTCCTGCCTCAATTACTTGTTGCAATTCCTTACAACCCCTGTTCTGACTTCTCAGCTCTTTGGCAGGTGAAGGAGGTTGCACTTGCTTGGCAATCTGGGAGCATCCCCTTCACTGCATTTTCAGCTCCTTGCCCCAGCACACAGACACAGCATCAGCCAGAATGGAAAATAATGTGTGCCACAGCAGGGAACTGGTTGGGATGCAGCAGACTCTGGGGAAGGTTTGCTCTATGCAGGAATGAAGCAGACTCTGAAGGAAGGATTGCTCCCTACAGGGATGCAGCAGGCTGCGGGGAAGGTTTGCTCTTCATCTGTGCAGGGATGATGCAGCAGACTGTGGGGAAAGTGCTCCGTGCAGGGATGCAGCAGGCCCAACAGGAAAGTTTACTCCATGCAGGGATGATGCAGCAGGTTGTGGGGAAGGACTGTGCTGTGGCTGCAGGTTCGAGTCACTCACACAGTGAGTGCAGGATGGCAGAGCTGCTGCTCCCTAACTTGTCTCCAGTTTGATGGGGCAAACAGTGGATTTTGACCACAGCTGTGACCTGGCACAGTCACAAGTGAGCATCACTTCCTCACAAGTTCCAAAACACCTCCACCCCCAAGGAAGGACAGGAGCAGAGAACGTCTCAGATAAGGAGATGCAGAACTGCGTCATCCCTCCATGACAAAGCAGCCCCATCCCCGGCCCAATTCTGAGAAATGCACCAACAGCTCGGGTCTGAAAGTTCCCAAAAGCAGCTGGTGAAGAGTTGGTGAAGAGCCCAATCTGGTATGGGGACGAGATTATAGCAGAGGGCAGATAGAGGGTGTGAGAGGGAAGTGCTGGGGAGCTGCTGGGTGCTATCGGCTCTCTCAGAAGGGTTCTGTGCTGAGGGCACGGCTGTGTCTGGGCTGGAATGTTTGCAACCTCTGAAACAGCCAGCTGAAAGTTTTTTGGTCAGAGAGGATTTTATACGTTTCAGCAGCTGGGAGAGAAGAGATAAGATTCAGAGAGCACCAAATGCTGACGTAATGCCCTCTGGCAAATTGCTTTTCTAAAGACAGTGCTCTGAAGTCACCTCTGGCTGCGGCTGTCCAGGCAGCAACAGTGGACTGTAAATTAAGCAGTCATCATTAAAATAGAACCTCAGCTTAGCAAAACACAGACTGAGTGCTGCTCCAGCCACGGGACTCTTCCCCCCTGGGTTCCTCCTTGGGCTGCAGCAGAGGTAGAAGAAGGAGAGAAGGGCTGCAGGGAGGAGGGCATTGGCACTGCCCCCCAGGAACTGACAGGAATGGGAATACAGACAGCCAAAGCAACGTGCAGCTGTGCCTCAGTTTAAATCCCCCAACTGAGCTGGGGGAAGCACAGAGTGGGCTCAGAGCAGCACAGTTGCAAACGAGAGCTTCCATTGTGGCACCCCAGGCATGCTGTGCCACCTTTGCACACAGTCCTGCAGTGCTGCCAGAAATGCCAACCACTATCAGTGCCACCTGCCCAGCTCCAGCCTGTTCAGTCAGATCCAGCTCTCTTCTAAACAGAACCCTTTTGCAGCCTTAGGTGCTGGAATTCACTGATTTATTCATTCCAATTTGGGTTGGGAGGGATCACTGAGCCCCAGGCCATGCTGTGGGCTGGGTGCCCCCAGCTCAGGCTGCTCAGTGCCCGTGTGTGGCCCAAGGGCACCTCCAGGAATGGGGCACCCACAGAAGACAGCCTGGCTACGCTACCCTCATCCCTCACACATAGAGGGCTTCACTGCAGGCAGCTGCTATAAACCCTGGGGCAAAAGGAAGCCTGAAGGGTGAGCACAGCAGAGCACCTGGGCAGGGGAAGCATAGGAGCCCAACACCCCTATGGCAATGCCCAGAGGGGGATCCCACCCCCTGTGGAGCAGCCATGGGATTCAGAGCCCCCCGGTCAGCAGCAAGGAGCCTGACACCAATGCCTCCAAACACACATCAGAGCTCCTCAATGGAGGACAGGTCCTTTACCAGCAGCACCAGCAGCCACCATCTCTCACTTTCCAGAGCAGAACACAAGGAACTCACAGGCAACTGATGTAACACTGTGAGAAAAGATGAAAGCCAACAGGAAAAAATAATAATTGCATTTCTGAAGGCTCTGTATCTCAGGCTGTCCCGTGGTGACCTCCGTGTTTGGTTGCTGAGGGCTGAGGTTTGTCTGTAAGTGCAATGGCTCCCAAGGTTGTGGGGGGGGTTTGCACATAGGGGCTGCCCCAAACGCTGCTCCTGCACCATCAGAACATCACTGGGCCCAATGAGAGCTTTGGTTTCCTACACAAACTGCCCTGTATGAGCGTCTGGGTGCCATGAGGAGGGGGACACAGCACAAAGTACGTGAACACAGGCACATCAGTCAGAAAAGCAAAGCAGGAAGAAAGTGGTACCTCTGTCAAAGGCCTCGGTCTTCTCTCTACAACAAATTCTGTGTGGCAGAGCTCACAGTAACTTGTGTTGGAGGAGGACAACCATTTCTCCAGGCAGCTCTTGTGCACGGTGCCCAGTGTTCCTGTGCAGTCACACGGGGAAAGCAGTCCTTCCCCATTTCCACCTTCATGACAGATTCGACAGATGGGACCGTCACTACAGAGGCAGACAGACAAACAGAAGGAAATCACAGTCAGACAGGCAGGCTGGGGAACTTCTCACCCTCCACCCCCAGCTACAAGGTTCAATTATAGACTCACATCTCTTAATTGAGCCCAAGATCTGCTCTGCTGGAACCTCAGGGCACTGCAGATGCTGTACAAGGCCAGTGGTGTGCCATCCCCAGCTCTCGTCCTGAACAACACAATGCCTTCCATGTGCTTACAGACCTGCCAAACCCTGCTCAGCCACCTCTCCACAAGCAGCAGAGCTCTGCTCTATTCAGCCACACCTCAGAGAGAAGCACAGCACCTCTCCAGTCACCTTCACTGCCCCTCCCTGCATCTTTTCCATTTCTGACCATCCCATCAGAGCTGCAGCAATTAGAGCTGTGCAACTTTTCCAGGATTTTTGCAGTGCCTATGCTCTGTTCTGTCCTTTGTTGCTTCCTAAATCCCAGCACTGCATTTACTTTTTGGTGACACATCGCTCACACATCGCTGTCACACAGCCATGATCTCCTTCCTCTGAACCCACGATGATATCAAGCCAGGGTGAGCGCTCTTCACTCGCACCATTCCACACTGAATCAACCACTGCAGGCTTTTCCAGCAAGGTTCAGCTCCTAACAACAGGCACCTGATGCCAGTCTAGGTCCAAGGGCATCCCAGCTGGCCTGCAAAGCACAGGTGCACTGGAAGCCCCACACATCTGCCAGCCCCATAATGGCTCCCTGAGAAACCTCCAAGGGCTGCAGCCACAGAATTCTGCTAGTCTGAGCAGCCCTGTGCTGCTCCTCAGCACCCGACCCTCATCAAGACCACCTAGGGACAAAAACAGAGATGCCCAATCCAGCCCTTCCCTTCCTGAACCACAAAAGCAAGTCACTCACTGGTGCCTCCTCTCCCCTAGCTCCCAAGCAGCCATCTCTGTGATGCAACACCTTTCTCTCAGATTCATAGCTGCACAGGTTTGGGAGTGGGAAGCAGGGTGAGAAAAGAACACCTCTTGTTGGAAAGCTCATTCCATGCCCTCTGAAAATCAGGATGAGCTCTACCAGCTTTTGTGCCCACACTGCTGACAGGACAGCAGCCACCTCACCTCATCTCATCGCTCATACTTGACCCCCATTCTGACCTGTATGGGATTCCAACAGAGCAGAGGCAGGACAAGCAATCTGCAGCCTTCAAAAGCAGCAGCACTACTTGCATTCGTTTGCACGAAGAATACAAACCTCTGGAACAGACACAGCAATTCACAATGCAGAGAAAAAGGGCTACAAAAAGGCATTGGTGGGACACAAAGGGCTGAGGAGAGCCAGCAAGAAAGCAGACTTGGGCTCAGGAAAGCAGAAGGAAGACTTTTGCTGGAGGTGTGCCCCTCTCAGCTCCGCACTGAGCAGGTTTCATCGCAATCAGATTCATGAGATCCGCCTGACGACCCCCTGGCACTGCTGTGAAGCTCAGCAAAATCTCATTAACCATCAGTGCAGCATGAGAGCATGAAAACCAGAGTCCACTCTCAGGGCCTCAGTGCAGACCAAAAAAAAACCAGGCCCTAAGTGCTCTCACGCATCTGTTATTTCCTAATAAAAGCATCTGTAAGACATTTCATCCCTTCTCTTCCTGTTTGAGGAGTTTCATATTTCCAGAGCGTTAATATAACCTTGGCTATCCATAAACAATCCAGAAGGAAAAAATTTGCTGACAGTGCAAGAGAAAAAAAAAAAACAACCTTCTTATCAGCCTCCGTTTTCCTTCCTTCCTATCTGGAGGAGGAGTTCACCCCAAACAGTCTCAGCAGTGCAGTGACCCCGGGTTGCTTGTGCACTCACACTGTGGTTGGGGTAGGAGTGGGACACAAGCTGGGTCTGCAGGCACTGCCTGGGCTGAGTGATGCTGCAAAGCATCCTCTGTTGCAGAAGCTGCTCAAAATACATGATGAAAAGTGTGGCAACAGGAGTCCAAGTAAGGCAGCACGTGTTCCCTCCAGCAGCAGCCGGGCAGTGCATCCTGCAGCACACAGCTCCTGTCCTCAGGCTGCAGAACCACTGCTTCATTCTCAGCCCACCCTGGGAGAGGAGCTTTGCCACACACAGCCCTCAAAGCACCTGTGTGCAGCACGGAGACCTGAGCACACACAGGGCTTTGGGCCAGCACACGGCGCCCTGTCTGACACAGCTGGCCGTGCAGGACCCCACGAAGGGGCTGGGAAATTCACCCCAGTACCACCTCCAGCTGACCCCTGCCACAAACAACGCTTTATTGCCACCCCCCCCTTTAGAGCCCCAAAAACGGGGATAAACCAGACGAGCAGCACCAGCCTGACCTCTGCGCACCCAGCGCCTTGATGACGGTGGAGAGCAGGCGGCCGTCCTTGGCGGTGACCTGGGTGATGAGCTGCGGCCGCCCCATGTCCGAATCCTCCACCGACTTGGAGAGCGCAGCGCTGCCCGGGCAGTCGCACAGGGAGCCGGGCAGGTGGCAGCAGTCGCCCGTCGTCATCGCAGCTCTGCACCTCTCTGCCGCGGGGACCTGCAGGATGGGAAGGGCTGTGAGCACCCAGCACAGAACCCGGACCCTCACCGTGCACCCCTGGGTGCCAGCAGTGTGCTTTGCTCCTTCACCCCCCAGTGACTTCCATCTCCACCAGCCTCGCGTTGCACACCTGCTTTGTCGAGAACTGCCAGCGCTCAGCCTTCAATGGAGACTTCCAAACCAAAGCACCCGACGTGGGGATGCTGTGAGCACAGGGGCTGACCAAAAACACGCATCCAAACCCTTTGTGCAAGACACAACGTTTCACTGCACACAGCGCTTGCTGCCGCTCAGCTCTCCCCACTGCACCCAGGTGCTTTCCAACCCCAAAAGCTGCCCCTCTGCCATCTCTGACTTTTGTTCTGTATTTCTTCACAGCACCAGGAGGGCAGCAGGGTGGCTGCACTCCTTCCCCTTCCAGTGCTCCAAGCCATGTGTGTTTTGTGCAGCAGCCCTTCCAGCAGCCCGCACACAGCCAGGAGCAGACAGTGCTGGCACCTCTGGGATTTACACTGAAAGCGAGCGCAGGGAGTGCAGGAACCAGGCAGGAGGTGCAGGGGCAGAGCAGAGCTGACAGGAGCAAAGCTGGCTCCAATGAGCAGAGCCCCACACAACCAGGAGGGCTTCCTGATGCACAGGAATGGCTGCGTTGCTCCTTCATAGGGTCACATGGAAGGTATCCAAAACCAACGGCTGCTGGAGCCCTGCAAACCACAATCCAGGTAAGCACAGCCCTGTTCCACCTCCATCAACCTGCAGACCTTTCCTCTGCGTTTGGAATAGGCTTCAGCTCATGGTGGGTTCAGGAATCAACCAACCAAACCAACAGGAATCTTCCCATCAACTGCAAAATGAGCGAAATACCGGAGCGAGCACCGCCCCGACCCAACTGCTCCATCCTTCTGTGCAGAGCACCCAGGGCTCTGCTGCTTCTCTCACTGCTCTCCACTGAGAATAAAGCAAACTACAAGCTGTCCAGATCTATGGAGCAAAAAGAAAGATGATAAACGCTATCGGAATGACTTCAGTCAGCTGCTCTGTGCGTTAAGGAGCTCTCTCAATTTTAAAGGCCTCTCTCGGAGGCAACATGGGGAGATGTATGCTTTTAATAAAGAGGTCGGATCCATTTGTTCAGCCAAAACCTTGTTTATTTTTTAAGTCCAGAGGATAAAAAGGTCCATTTTGTGTTCTGGAATAAAGCCACTCTCCTGTCCCTCGTGGGCTCGTGGTGCTGCACATCCATCAGATCCCAGCAGCCACGTGTGGGGCTGGATGAGATCCGCCACCCTCAGCCCAGCAGGAAATGCATGGCTTTCAGTTACAAGTTATTTGGCATTTCCACACCGGAGTCTATCCCAGGGTGGAGCCTGAAGTCACCACTTTAATATGTAACTGACTCACATCACTCGGGGAGCACGAAGGCAAAGCAGCAACGCAGCTCATGGAGAAGGAACCAAAATCCAAAGATAACATCTGCAGTGCTCTCTGCTTCCAGCTCCATACCCAGCGGACACGAGCGGGCTGTGCAGCCAGGCCAGGCCCTTCCTGGCTCACAACTGTTGGCAGCTTGGTGGATCCAAAGCCCACCTCACCACGGGAGCAGGTCAGAGATGGATCCACCTCCTCGCATCGAGCTGACCCAGGATGCAAACAGCTGAGCTCGCAGAGATTGCTCAAACTGAAGAGAAAACAAACGGCGGTGGTGGAAAGTTGGCTTGGGAAAGCGAGCTACACAGCAGGGCTGCACAGCTCCAACACGTGCAGTAAGACAGCAAGCACCCTGCTCCAGCATAACGTCCTCCCTGAAGCCTGCCAGCACTGCAGAAGAAGCAGAGCCCCACTGCTATCACCCAGAGGGCAGCAGGAGATTCCAAACTCCCTGGAATGACTGCACAGCTCAAGAGCACAGAGACCAAGGCCATGCTGCTCTCCATCCAGAAGATGCATGCAGCAGGAATGAGGAAATGCTGAGCAGATGGAGGGTCCCCACCTGAGTTCTGCATATTTGCACTCTGCAGGCTGTAAGAGAGTTATTTCTCCCAGCTGGGGGAAGAACAGAGGCCAGGCAAACACCCAGCATGGAGCTCAGAACAACGAAGCAGGAAGAGGACCGTGGTCAGAGGGACTGCTACACCCAACTGCTGCTCATATGAGCTTGCACCAAACCCCAGAAACAATCATCTTCCCACCTCTCACCTTCCCAAACCAGTTCTATCCCTCTTGGATTGCAGACACTACATTTTCTAATCGTGTGATCACCAGCAAAGCGAGAGGCTTTCCCAGCTGCCACCAAGCATGGGATGAGAGGAGCGGCCCAAAGCACTCCTGCTTTTCAAAGGCTGCAGAGCTGGTTTGATCTATGGAAGCAGACAGAACTCAACAACAAGCCAAGCTGCTGCAAGGCTTTGTTTTTTTCAGTTCTGTTTGTCCAAACGTACTCTCTGCTGAGGGCTGAAGGCAGGAGCACTGTTTTGCTGTTTGAGAAAGTACATGTTTCTGTGTTATCCTGTCACAGCTCCAAGGAGTCACCCTGCAGGACCTTCCCTGCAGTGCGTGGTCAGCACTGGCAACAACACAGGTGCTGCAGAGGGTCTCCCCCACCCCACATCAGCCATTTTCATAACAGATGTCATGAGGAAACAGCTGACGAGCAGCTGGGACATGAGAAACTCCTCCTCCTCCTCGGAGCACTCCACAGACATCGGCTTTTGAGAGGTGCACAGCAGTGTGATTCACTCCATACCACCACCATACACACCCCGTGCATCCTAATGCTATTCTCCTTCTGCAGAGAAAGAAAGAAGCTCCAGCAAAGCTTGAAAGCCATATTTAAATCATGAAGCACAGCGAAGAATGCACAGCTTTCACATCCCAAAGCAGTGCTTGCACTTTTTGGAAGGGAAGCCAGCACTGCTCTGCTCAGCACTGCACCCAACCGTGCTGCAGCTCCCTGGCTTCCCATTTCCTTGCACTCCTGGGGCCTCCATCAAACAACAGCAGCAATGCAGGAATGCACTGCTCCTATCCCAAGAGCCCTCCTTTCATGAGAGGCAGCACCTGCATTAACACCAGTGCTCAGCAGCTCCCTGCTGCTGTGCATTTACCTTTCAGGCAGCTTCAATGCAACTCCAAACAAATGGGTTTTCCAGCTCTGGACAGTCCATCAGAAAAGAGAAAGGAAGAAAAAGAAGAAAACCCAAACTGCACAGCTGATCCAAGATCTCAGCGTCCTTCTCCCCCACTTAAGTCTGCACTGTTGTGCTTAGCTTGAACGTTAGACAGACACAGGCTTCGACTGGTCTGCCTGCAGGGATGCACAACAAAAAATGGTGAGGAAATAAACTGGAAAACCACCCAGAACGCGGCGTACCTTGCAAACTGCTGACAGCAAACCCAAGCAGCTTTTCTTTCCACCAGAACTGAAGCCATCAAAACTTCTGAGAGCAAGAAGCGCCAAAGCCAAGGGCTTCCTGCATCGCCCTCCTCGCAGACAGCAGCTCTCATCTGCTCAGTGCTCTGAGCGCTGCTGCACCTCGTCCCTGTCTTTGGCAGCAGGAGGAGAACGGTTCCCTTCAGTCCATCGCCGCCGATGGAACCGCTGCTCATAAAACGGAAACGCAAACATCCCAAACTGAGTCAAAGCGAAGGAGGGGGAAAATAAACTCATCCCGCAGTTTATGGTTCAGGGTGCCTGGCTCCTCCCCTCGCCTCCCAATAAAAAGTTCTGCGTTTTTTAGAGTCAGAAGCCAAGCCAGTTTAAACAATAGAGAGGAAAACAGCCGCTCCATTCACTCCCGCTGCATCTCGGCACCAGGATTCACGCACAGCAGCCCCGCCAGCACCTCGGACCCGCGCCCAGCCTCTGCCCACCCAGTTCGCACCGCTGGGCGCACAGCGCTCGATTTTGGCCGTGCCGTCGCAATGAATCCCCGCAGCTCCGTCCCGGGGCAACGCCTGCGTTCTGCCTTTGCTTCAGCCGGGCCCGCAGCGACGACCCGGGACGGGAAGCGTCCGCAAAACGAGTCCGAAGGCCCCGGGACGCCGCGCAGGGCCGGCTGCAGGGCCGGGAGCCCCCGGGGCTGACCAATGGGGAAACCTTCCCCGCGTCCCGGCCCCGCAGACGCCGCCCGCCCTCCCCACACCCCCGTGCCCCCCATACCTGCAGTCCCGGCCCCGCGGCCCCTCAGCGCGCGGCGCGCCGCCCCATCGCCGGTCCTGCGCCCGTCGGGCACCGCCCCCCCCAGCCGGCCCGCCCACCCGGGGGCACCGCAGGCCGCCAGCCAATCCCCGAGCGGCGTCTCGATGACGTCAAAACCCTTTTGCCCAATCGGCTGAGCGGAAGCGCTGCCGGCGTCGCAACGCGACCACGCTGGCAACAGGCGTTGACCAATAGCGGCTCGGCTGAGGGGCAGAGCCCCGCCCACTCGAGCCAAGGGCACGGAAGCCCCGCCCCCTCCGCCCGGCCACGCCGCGGGGCGGAACCGGCAGGGTGGGAAAATGGGGGGAGCGGAACCGGGCGGTGATGGGCGGCACAACGCGGAGTGCGGCCGCTGCTCCTGGAGATCAGCCCTGGGCGGAGCGACACTGCGGGAAGGGGAAAGGGAAGGAAAGGAGAAAAAGAGGGGAAAGAAGGGAGGAAAGGGGAAGGAAACTCAGCTCTTGGAAAGGGTGGATAACTGCAGGGCCAGGGGAGATGGTCTGAAGTTGGGGGAGGGAAGACTGAGGTTGGATATCAGGGGGAAGTTGTTTGCTGTGAGAGTGGTGAGGTGCTGGAACAGCTGCCCAGAGAGGCTGTGGATGCCCCGTCCATCCCTGGAGGTGTTCAAGGCCAGGTTGGATGGGGCCCTGGGCAGCCTGGGTGGTGTGAAATGAGGAGGTTGGTGGCCCTGCATGTGGCAGGGGGTTGGAGATTCATGATCCTTGAGGTCTTCCAACCCTGGCCATTCTGTGATTCCGGGGAAGGAAAGGGGAAGGAAAGGGGAAGGAAAGGGGAAGGAAAGGGGAAGGAAAGGGGAAGGAAAGGGGAAGGAAAGGGGAAGGAAAGGGGAAGGAAAGGATTCTTCAGTGCAGAACTCAGGAGCAGCAGTGCCTGTGGCTGAGCTCTGCTGTGCTGCTGCCATCCTCATCTCTGGAATATGTTTCCCTTTCCCAGGCTGCCGTCCATCAGCAGTTCAGATCAGCTGAGTTCTGCTCTCATCCAGCAGAACAGAGCTGGAGCCATTCCCTCCTGGCTGCCCACACAAAGCTGTTTGAAGCCTGGCTGCAGAGCCGGCCTGCTGCATACCTGGGAACGCTGCAGCATTCTGCAGTGCCCAAAGAGGGAATCCTATCAGCATTCAATGGGATTGGGCTGCAAGCATGCACCCCTTCACCTCCAATGTGTCCCCGAACAAAGCTGAGAAGTAGAAATGCCATGTGCTGCCTTCAGTTGGAACTACAGCTCTCCAGGTGCACACATACCAGAATTAAAGGCATCCCTCTGGAAGTCTGAACAAAGTGAAAGCCATCAGTTAACCGCCCTTGATTTTATTACATAACCAGACAGAACAGTTGAGACTGGAATGTCAGATTTCCCCTTCAAGTACAATTTACAGTTTCATATTTGCTTTGTATCAGGGTATATTTCAACTCACTAACATGCAGGTAGGTTCATCAAGTGAGGCACAGTCTCGGAATTTGGAAGTATACAGAGCAAAAATTCACTGCAAATTGCTTCACTCGTCTTCAGAGAGCAGCAGATCAGCACCTCCTCCTTCACACAGCTTCACCCAGAGCTGCCTCACCGTAACATTCAGTGCTTACTGGAGGATGCAAGTGTAAGAGAGCCAGTGAGTGATGGACAGTCATCATCAGGGAGGAGTTTCACAAGCTAGCAAAAGAGCGACTACACAGAGCTGTGATAACATTCTTCCCATTCAGCAAGAACAAAATATTATGGTAGTTAGCCCTGCTGATGGCAGATCTGTTACACCCAGTGAAGTACAATCATTTGAGAATTACAGTCTGCAATTCGGTCAAACAGAAGAAGAGGGAAGCAGCAGGTTAGTAGTTATGTGAAACTTAGTATTATGCCTTTTAGTAAAGGTCAAGATTATGCACAAGGTCAACAGTGAAAGAAAAGTTTGAGATGCAATGGTTCTGCAGGAGTTTTACAAAATGTATAAAGTATTGTGTTTCTCTAACAACAACCAAAACCCTTACAAGTGCAGGTATATACATGACATGAAAATATTGCTTCACTCACTCAAAACAGGGGAGGGGAATTCTAGAGAAAAAGCAGCATGCAAAATAAATCCTGGAACTAGGGGAGGTCCTGCTTTCAGACACTGATCTACAGTACAAAATCAGCCTACTGGTACAGGTCGCAAAAGTTGGTGGTTTTTTGAAAGGAAGATGCTGGCACTTACTGTACAATAATGTTAACTGATTAACATAAGCCATGAATAAATATTAAGCCACTTCACAAAGCCTGCACCAGCAGCACAGGCATTGGTGGTGGCAGAAAAAGCAATGCAGACATACTTCATTGTTCCCAAATAAAAAAAGAAGAGAGAAAGATTTCCCAGGCAGGAAACAGTAAACTACACAGCCAGACTAACTGTACTAGTGGTAATTACATCAGAAGTCAGGTTATTTTCAACAGCTTTCTTAGGTGTGTGCAACCACTAAAAACCTCACTGTGAAACTTCATAGGGACAGAAAACAGAGCGTTGGGTAGGACAGCTATTTCCTTTTACTCTCTCCCCTGCATTTACAGAAACAGGAGAGAAAATCTGACTATGGCAGGAAAAAGCCTTGTAACCTAAATGCAGTTATTTCCTCAGCTGTTACAGTCGAGTCCCCATGGTTTCTCTCCCAGAACAAAACTCAAAACCATCTGAGGAGAGTGTTTCATGGGATGATATCCAGCAGCAGATGTTCCAACACAAACACGTCTATCAGATCAGTGCCAACATTTCAAGCCCCAAACTCATCACATTCAAGGGGATCTTAGAGGCAGGGGAATGTTAGCCCTACAATTTAAGCTCTAAGATGAAAGGAGAAGATTGGGATGGGGTGAAGGAAGGAGGGGAGGGGAGTCACTGAATCACAGGAGATAAAGAAGTGCACACAAGTTTCTAAATGAAGCACAGACGAAGTGAGGGGCATCAGAGTCGTCTACAGGAGGTCACAGGTTCTGACAGCACTGCAGTTTGTTGGATTTCTGTCCGTCGGTGGTTGGTGGGACGCTGATGTCGACGACGTTGTTGCCAGGAGACTCATCATGTGCAGACCGGTCTGCAATCTGCTTCTGAGAAACAATGCGGTAGATTTCTGAAATGAGAACAGACCTGTTAGAACACTGGAAGGCATTCCTTCCAACAGAGCATGCACTCATCTCGCAGCGAGCTGCCAGAGAGGATGGCTGCACCCAGGAGTGGGAAGGTTTTAGCTGTGAAAGGGAACCCAGGCTGAGCAGCTGTGCAGTGTAACACCTGGTTGGCTTTCCAGCTCTGTGCAGACACTCGGCTCTGTCTGGAAGACTTAAAGATGAGATTCCTTACTGTCTCCCTAATTCCTGTCACATTCTCTTCAGCGACTCCATGAACAAAGGTGGTGTTAAAATCTTTTTCAAACGAGAAAGACAGAATGAAGGCAGGCTGAGGGAGCTGGGCTTGTTCAGCCTGGAGAAGAGAAGGCTGCGGGGTGAATCATTGCAGCCTTCAGTACCTAAAGGGCGCCTACAGACAGGAGGGGAGTCAGCTCTTGGAAAGGGTGGATAACAGCAGGACAAGGGGAAATGGTTTTAAGTTGAGGGAGGGAAGATTGAGGTTGGATGTCAGGGGGAAGTTCTTTACAGAGAGAGTGGTGAGGTGCTGAACAGCTGCCCAGAGAGGCTGTGGATGCCCCGTCCATCCCTGGAGGTGTTGAAGGCCAGGCTGGATGGGGCCCTGGGCAGCCTGGGGTGGTGTGAAATGTGGAGGTTGGTGGCCCTGCATGTGGCAGGGAGATTGGAGGTTCATGATCCTTGAGGTCCCTTCCAACCCTGGCCATTCCGTGATTCTGTGAAAGAAGCAGGAATGTTCGTTTCTAAAACAGAGGGGCAACATTATCTAAAGCATTACTGAAAAAGGATGCTTGCAAAATATCATCACACTGCAGCAATGGCAGCATCCATTTCACCCTTCAGCTTTTGACAAGCTGTCCCTACCAAATCACAGAAACACTTGCTCCTCTCTGTTACAAATCAATTTCCCCATCCATGACAGTGGAAAAAAGGTTCCATGCAGCCCCACATTAATCTGCAAATGCTATTCTTGAGGGAATTCATGCCTGAAAGCACACAGACTCACAGAACCCCAACTGCTGAAGACAGACTTCCAGGTCAGAAGCTTTCAGAAGGAAACCATTTCACCTGCACCATCAGTAGAAATAAGTGGAAATATTTCTATTTCACTGACTGTAAGACCTCATTCCAACTTCCCTCCATTGTGAGACAGGAAAAGGGCAAGCACCTCCCTGGAAGCCTGCAGTAAATATTATGCCTCAGGACAGGAACAGCCAAAGCCTTTAACAAGGATTTTAAACGATGGAGAATTGTAGGATTTGGGCTCTTTGGGTTTTTTTGTTTTGAGATCTGTTGAGGTCGATTTCTTCTAAAGGAAGCTGCACCTATTTACCCCATTTAAAATAGAAGCTTGAACCCAAGGCTGAGCTCACTGCCTCTGCCTGTCTTCAGTCCTTTTTTGCTTACAGGGAAAAAGAGAGGCTGTGCAGACACATCCTCCCTCTCTTCTGCTCAGCAGTGTATTTTAACACAAGCTGTTCAGAGTTATCATCAAACCCTCTTTTTTTCAAGGCAGCATCCACCTGGGTTTTCTCCCAGTCTTTAATGATCCCCCAAACTGATGGCCAGCAAGAAGCACCTGCTCCTTTCCCTCTTCCAGTTTCTCCGTGGTTTCTCCCAGCCCTCTGCTCTGCACAGGTTTATTTCACTCTCCTAAAAGGATGGCATGTAGCTGTGGGAAGAGGTGGGAAGAGCCCTTTCAGCACTGCTCATTCTCACTGGCCCCATCCCTGCCATTCCTGCACTGGTCAATCTTAGCCCTCCTGGGAGCCCAGGATGCTGTCCTGAGCAGTGTCTTGAGTTTGGTTTGCCCAGGCCTGA